GGTAAGGATTGAAAGAAAGATATATAATCTTTTACCGGGGAATACATTTTTTTTTTTCACCTCTTTCTTTTGACAAAAGATCACTTACAGGTAGTCTTTATTATAATAAGATAAATTTCAAAATAAAATCAACATAACAATAAAACCAAGACCTTAACAACTTGATGCCATTGAAACATGCACTATGCTTGAGAATAAAAGATATGATTGCAAGAAATAAAAAAAGAAGAGCACCGGAGATTACTTCAACCGGGCTTATTACACCCCACACCGAGTCACCACCATCCGATGACGCGTGATCAAAGGTCTAGCTTCAATCTCGAACTGGAAAAGCAAATTTTGGCCAAGCCACACCAATGGAATATGAACCCCTTTGATCACAAACTAAAACCCTAGGTGAATTCTCTTAGCAACCTAGTTTGAAAGAGATGGATTCTCTTTTTGCTAAACCCTAAAACCCTTAGCCGTAAATTCATATTTGAGATATATGAGAGAAGAACTTCATAACCTAAACCCTTAGGTTCTTTCACAATGTGGGAGAGAGAGATCAAACATGAGAGAGTGGTGTGTGCCCCTTTTTGGGATATGAGAGAGAAAAATGAGAATTAGGTACAAGAGAGTAGAGATTTTTGGGGAGAGACAATTTTTTTTTATAGGATTTGAATAAGATTAGGGTTTCTTAGGGTTTTCCTTAGCTTGCCTTTTCTTGTAAGATTGAACATTGACCGTCGTTCAAGTGTGACTTGTGCGGTGAGAGATTTGAGCTATCTATTTCATAAATGGGCAATCATCAGAGTTATTTGGAGATTGAAGGCTCGGGTTCACAAAACCAGGTAAGAAGTTTGGGTTTTTTTTTTTTCCGCCATATGATTAATTTCATTACATATTTTGAAGATAATGAGTTCAATTTGTAGGATTTTTAATCTTTATTGTGTCTATTATGATTTAACATATTCAATTTTATTTAATTTGGTCAATTACAGCATGATTTTTTAGATGAACACAGTGATGTCTGTGAAAAAACATTTCTACTGTTTTTTTTTTTTTTCCGCCTTTTGATTTTTTGTTCATGATATATTACAATAATGTGTTAGATTTCTAGCGTTTTTAATCGTTATAGTGTTGTTTATAATTAGATGTATTCAATTTGATCTAATTTATTCAATTTGAGCTTCATTTTTTAGATTCAATGACTGTTGTATGTGAAGAATTGCGGTTTTTTTATTTGCTCAATTTAATCGATTTGATTTGATTTATTGATGATAATGTGTTCAAAATTTAGGGTTTTGATTCTTTATATTGTTGTTTATCATAAAATGTACTCAATTGGATGTAATTTATTCGCTTAGAGGTGGATTTTTGAGTTAAAATGGATTATGTAAGATGGCTCCATGAAGAACAGATTTTTTTTTTTTTTTGTAATCCATGATCAAATTTTTTGTAATACATGAGCGAATTTTTTGTAATCCATGATCGAATTGTTTTTTTTTTTTTTGTAATCCGTGATCGAATTTTTTGTTTTTTTTTTTTTGTAACCCATGATAGAATTTTTTGTAATCCATGATCGAATTTTTTGTAACCCATGATCAAATTTTTTGTTTTTGTTTTTTTTGTAACACATGATAGAGTTTTTTGTAATCCATGATCGAATTTTTTGTAATCCATGATCGAATTGTTTTTCTCTTTTTTTGTAATCTATGATCGAAATTTTTTTTTTCTATTCCATGATCGAATTTTATGTAATCCATGATCGAATTTTTTGTAATCCATGATCGAATTTTTTGTAATCCATTGTCGAATTTTTTGTAATCCATGATTGAATTTTTTGAAAATTTGTGATTTTTTTTTTTAATCCATGATTGAATTTTTTTTTGTAATTCATGATTGAATTTTTTGAAAATTTGTGATTTTTTTTTTTTAATCCATGATTGAATTTTTTAAAAATTTGTGATTTTTTTTTTAATCCATGATCAAATTTTTTGAAAATTTATTAAATTTTTTTTTTAATCCATGATCGAATTTTTTTTTGTAATCCATGATCGAATTTTTTGAAAATTTACTGTACTTTTTTTTTTTTTATCCATGATCGAATTTTTTGAAAAATGATGATTTTCAAAAAAGATGTGAAAATCGTGATAAGGTTTTGATTATCATGATGTATTAAACCGAATTTTTAATTTTTATTGTTTGAGTTTGCTATAGGATTTTTTTTTCCATGATCGAATTTTTTGAAAAATGATGATTTTTTGAAAAGATGTGAAAATCGTGACAAGGTTTTAATTATCATGAGGTATTAAACCAGATTTTAAATTTTTATTGTTAAAGTTTTTGTTGAAAAAATTATATGTTGATAGATTATTTATGCAAAAAAATGCATGTTATTATATTTTTAATGCAAAACTGTATTTATTTAATCTGTTGTTAATGCATTTTTTAGTTGGAATGACTGATCTTAGGTGGCTCTGTGAAAAATTGTTTTTATTATTAATTTTTTAATGCAAAAAATATATGTTCTTGATAATTGAGTTGTAGCCATGTTTGGAGCTTGCATTTTGTATTATATTATCCTGAATGTTTGTAATTGATATGTATGAAAATGTTATTGTCAATAGAGGTATTTTGTAATTGGGTATAATCAGACGCCTGCTAATATCGATGATTCGTTTTTAGATCGAATCAATGAATTGTCAAACGAATTCAATGAATGGCACCAGCGTGACCAAGAAGAACAACAACGTCGTCTGTCATTTTATTTTTAGATCGTATGTTACTAATTGTATGCTTTATTGTAGTCCATGTATGTTGATATACTTATTCCATGATAATTCTATATTGATCCTTTTGTGTGATGTAAATTAAATGCTGAATAGTAGTTCATGCAGGGAAAGAACATATCAACATTCGTAAATTCATGCAAAAACATGAAAATTCTTAATGGAGTACCCTCATTTCTTATTGAATTCCTAAAAAACAATATTTATAATGAATTTTAATAATTTTTTCAAATTTTTTTGAAGCTTTATTCTGACCGATTCACTCGATTTCATATCCAAATCGTCGATTCGCCGATCCGAATCGATTTTTGAGGTACCCGATCCAGGTCATCGATCCGCTTTTTAAACCATTGATTCTAGCTGATCTAAAAATAATTAATAATCATAAAAATTGAAGATTTAGATATTAAATATATGATATACTATTTTCAAGATTTGAAATCTATCTTGTTTACGTCCATGTATGTCAAGATCAAGATGATCGGATTTGAGGTTTGTTTCAGCATCAAACCAACTTATTCTAGTGAATTTTCGAAAACGGACTTCTATTCAACATTCAATTATCGTTGTTGGAATAATATTGGTGGCGTAGCTTTATGGGGACAACATCGTATAATCATTTTTGTTGGAATATTATTGGTGGGGTAGCTTTATGGGGACAACATCGTACAATTATTCCTGTTGGAATATTATTGTGGGGTCGCTTTATGGGATACCATCGTGTTTTTTTGACAAGGTTTCCCACATAAAAAACGGTGTCCCTTGATAAGCAATGATTTAACATGCCAAGATTTATAAATGAAAGAAATTGGAAGCTATGAGAGAGAATAGTGGTCTAATATGTTTGTTCGAGAAAAGAGATGTTCAGTGTGTGTATGCGAGAGAGATGCCCAATGTCTTTGTATATGTGTAAAAGGAATCCAATATGTTTATATATTTCTATGTTAGTCAGTGTGTGTATATGGGAGAGGAAGAGGTCGAATGTGTATGCGAGAGAAAATCACACACAAAAATGAGAACTAATATAAAAAAAAATTACAAAAGTCATTTTCTCCCTTATTTCACTAAACAGCACAAAATAAGTATCAAACATTTTGTAAAAGTATTGTACCAAATTAGTATAAAAAGTTACTATCAAATTTAATATTAATATTCATTCAAACAAGAAATGAGGTCTTAGTATTCACAAACTTATCCAAAATATAATGCAATACACTCATTGTTTTTGGAAACTCGAAAAAAAAAATATCCATAACAATTTTTTATAGTTTTTGAGATTTTTTTTATGGTCAGATCAGTCCATTTCGGCCGATCCACCGATCTGAACCACCAAGCCATTGATTTGAACCGTTTCTCAGGATGGGCGATCCATATCACCAATCTGTTTTTTTTTAAAAAAAAAAATGGATTATATTGAAAATTTTGATCTCTCCATTATTTTTCATTTCCTCTTATTTTATTCTCTTTTTCTGTATTTTATCTCATTAGATGAACGCCAATTCCCTTCATAGCGTCCATTGGTATTAAACCAAATCGGATCAGGTCGCTCATTCCATAATAACGTTTCTTCAACCCAGATTCTGTCTATCAACGTGGTACATGATCACCGATCCAATTTTCAATCATTGCTGTACATCAGTTCAAGGGAGATCAAGCAAATAATTAACTATTCGCCCACCTGGAATCATGGAATCTAGGAAATATTGGGCTCGCGTTGATATCTACATTAATCCTTTGTTCATGTACTAATAATTAATGGGGGGATTTGTTCATGTACTAATAATTAATGGGGGGATTTACCATTTAAGGAGGCATGGCTGTCAATCAATATGAAGCGTCAACCATGCGTTGTTACATGTTACATGGTAAATCCCCCCATTAATTATTAGTACAAGAACAAAGGATTAAAATAAATTCCAACTACATCAACGTGAACCCAATATTTCCTAGATTCGATAATTCCCGGTGGGCGCAATAGTAAATTATTTGCTTAATCTCCTTGAATTGATGTACAGCAATGATTGAAAATTGGATCGGTGATCCAAACTGCCCATCCTGGAAATCAGTCTAAATCTTGGTCAAATCCACCTTAAACAAGAAAAAAAAAAACACTAAAATTTTTAAAAATTTGACAAGGGGATGTGGATGGAAAGCCATCAATTATGGAAGGATTAGCCTGGTGAAGTATGGGTGAGCTTTCTCGTAGGCAATGGAGATTTCTCCTTCATGGATAGCATTGATGAGTACACAGGCTTTGTGACCACAGGCAGTAAATTTGATGCTCATGCCGACGATCCATGGATCCTTCAACTTTGCCAAGCCCTCAAACATTTGCACCTTATGAACAAGAAGATTCTGGGCATATGCCTTGGCCACCAGGTTCATATTGCTATTTGCATCTCTCTTTCTTTTGACGAGAAAAAAAAATTGGACCATTTCTCGATTTGTGAGTCTCATCCTTGTGCAGGTCGATGCCAATCTACTATGTGTCGTTCCAATTTTATCCGATGCCTCCAAAAAGATAACTCTCTCTCTCTCTCTCTAAAAAAAGCACATCTATGTCACTATGAACTTGATGGGTGACCACGTCTGGAAACTGAGACTTAGGTATGATTTTTCCAATCTATTATAAATAAAACGTGAATGTATTAGGATACGCAGTCCAATAACTATTCACTCATTAAACAACTTGCATTTCAGTTTCATCACCGTCTTCGCTCATACGTGACATGCAGTCACAAAGACACTTTTTGTAGATATATCTCCCTATGCGCTCGGGGTGAGAAGGAAGGGCCATGGCCTTCTTTTTCTCTCTCTAAAAGAGACTAGAATAGCTGACCATATAAGATTAAGGTAATCTTATCCAAGGTATTTTTTTTTCTTCTTCTTTTCTTCTTTTCACCCTCTTTTTTTTTCTTTGGACAAAGATCACTTACAAGTAATCTTATTACAATAATTTTTGCTTCAAAAAAAATAAAACTAACAAATCCAAAATGTTAAAAACTTTTATGGCACTAAACCAATTTTCTTTAAACAAAGAAAATATCCATAATTTTTGTGTTTAAAAATATAAAGACAAAATAATTTAATATGGCAAGCAACAAAAAAATAGAGTTCTAGAGATTACCTCAATCGGACTTATTACACCCCACACCGAGTCACCACCATCCTATAGTGCGAGATCATGATCAACCTTCAATCTCATACGAAAAAACAAGTTTAGGCTAAGCCCTTTAATGGAACTATGAATTCCATTATCACAAATCTCAAACACTTAGGTGAATCTCCTTAACAACCTAGTTTGAGAGAAATACTTCTTTTCTCTACCACAACCCTATAGTCTAAAACCCCCATGAGATATGAGAGATCATGAAAGAGTTGAGAGGACCACTATAAGAAAGATAACAAATATGACAGAGTAGGGCACCCCCCTATGGGTCTCTTGAGACAGAAAGTAAAAATTGTCTTAAGAGAGAGATAATTTAAGTGAGGCGTGCCCCCTTTGTGGGATATGAGAGAGATGGGAATTAGACGTAAAAATTTGGGTATAGATCAATCCCATTTTTATAGTGCTTGAACAAGATTAACGTTTCTTAAGTTTTCTTTAGCTTTGACTCTTCTTTTGATATTAAATATGAACCATTGATCTTGGGTGACTTGTGAGGTGAGAGATTTGAGTCATCCATTTCATAAATGGGCCATCAACATTATAGAAGGTGGTAGAACATTTATCCCCCATTACTAAACTATTTTCCCATAAATAAAAATTAAATAAAATAATTTCATTCATAATATAGTACTTACCAAAATTATGCGCATGCCTTCTCATGCGTTACAAAAATCCTTTGAAAGCTTTCTCAAGGCAAAATCTTTCCAAATATTTCAAAGCTAAATATTTCAAAGCTTTCTCTTCAAGTCAAATCTTGAACTAACACAATGAAAGTTTCATTAGGATTGGGTGTGCCACCTTAGGTGGTACTTCATGGTCCCCACTCACATGCATTGGTGGGCCCATGAACATATTGGGCCTCCTATGCAATATTAAAATTAATTATATGATTTTTAGAAATCCATAAAATCAAATTTGAATATTTAAATCAATCTAAAGTCAATATCTCTATTTTTATAAATCCAAATTTGATAAATAAAATATCCAGAGATCTAGAAAAATTCAAATAATAATTCTAAAAACCATATATCATTAAAATAAACATAATTAAATTCATTAGATAGGAAAATGATTCATATGGTCTACAAATTAAACAAATAAACGTTAAAGCACTCCACGTTCAATTATAGATTATGGCGACGCATAGTCCATGCATGGCTCATTAGTGGGTTACCAAAGTCTGGCCGATAAGCCAAAGGTCGTAATCAGTGAATTTCAGGTTTTCTCCTAGAGACGTATCGAGGTCACCTAGACCTGATACCACCACAGCTTCTATGACGCACAGGAATATCTGTCGCACATGCATGAGCTTCACATTAAAAGATGGTCCCTTTCCCAAAACGACTATCATTATGTATGTCGTGCGATGGCTCGCAGATGAGGCTTTTGCTCCCATCTCTGACGGCCACCATCACACACAAAGGTCACACAGTCCTTCAGCTCATTCATTTGGACATACTCCGAACTCATCAAGAAATAACCTATTAGAATCTTTATCAAATAGTTTTTTATGCCCAGGTAATATAGGGTTTTCCCAAGCGACTGGCTTAGCTCGTCAAGCTCAGTCCAATATCAATAAATATCATTTGTTTAGTATAATCTCAAAAAAACCACACTCCTACTAAATTCATGTTCCACTATATCATTTCATTTTAGTTTTTATAGACCACCCAATACCCAACATAACCGTAGTACATTTTGTGTCTTGTGGTATAACGGTCTAAACATATATAAAATCAAAGGTGGGGAAAAATGTAAGGTCGTCAGCAAGATGGTGGAAGAGTGAGAGGATGTGCGTTAATGAGTGTGTGTCGCGTGAGTGGTGACTTGGTGCGAGAGGTGTGGAGAGGGAAGTGAGTTGTAGGAAGGGAAATTTGAGAGAGAGAGTGAGAGATATATTGTTAGAGAAAGGTGGATGCATAGTAGGTGAATACAATTTTTATTTTCTATCTAAAAGTTGTTTGTTGCGAGCGAAACTTTTTCGGTTGGGCGACTCTACTAGATTCACTCCCTCGGGTAAAGGCGTTCTAAGTAGCATATCGAAGATCACTTTCCCATATAAAGGCCTACTTGAGAGTATTCTTACAGCCCTGAAATTTTGGGTATCGGTTCTCTCACCCTAATTACCAACATCTAAGAAGAAGGAAAAAAAACATAATGTGCTTTGGAGTAGTTATACTGTGTACTCCTACGAGAAGATAACCTACTCCGACAATTAATTGCAATCGTATGTAACCTCCATAAAAACGTAAGTTAGTGGATATACAGTGAAAATGGAGTTAGAGACTTCATCATGGTCAATTTCACATATTTTTCGTAAGGCTAACAAGGTAGCTGATGTACTTATCAAAAAAGCATCATTCAGTTCTGGTGCTATTATTTGGTGCTCTAGACCGCCATATTTTATTTCAATGCCTTTACTTCATGACTTGGCACGGCTGCTCTATTATAGTATTGTAAAATGGCGAATTGTTATTTTTTTCTTATTATTTTAATAAAAAACGGGTAGTGAGCCTTCACTTACCCTAAAAAAAAAAGATATTAACCTTGCAATATTGAAGGCGCACCTTAAAATTATGTCCAAAGGTGTAGTTTTGGTCCACTGACTTACCCAAAAAAAAATAAGATATCAACCTTGCAATATTGAAGGCACACCTTAAAATTCTTCCTAAAGGTGTAGTTTTGATGCTGTTGTCACCTCTAATTATAAAATATTAGCACTATGCAAGAATACATAGGCCTCCATACTGGTATTTTGAAAATTAATCGAGTAGTCGAAGCAATCAGGACTTTTGTGTCTTCTTCTACAAAAAAATTAAAAGAATAAAAAATCAAAATCTCTAAGAACTAGCAACAGGGAAAATTTGGAGGGTCTCATGCACGAACCGGTACCCAACTGTTCTGAGCCAGTTTGGAGATTTTCGAAACCATGCTCCATTGAATAATGCGAACATGTCGAATAATTTTGATGATGCAAAGTCCACACCTGCCATTTCGATTCGTTTTTTGTTAGATTAATCCAATGGCAAAGTTATCCTTGTAACTTTTTTCTGCTTTTAAGAAAGTATTAGTTCCACTTGCTTTTAGTAATGCATTTTTGCAGAATGGTTGTGATGATTTTGGCTGCCAATGGATCGGGTTCATGCTAGGTCTGATCCGGCTTAGGCTTGGACTTTGCCAAATTACATTGTTAAGGCTTGAAATTGGCCTAGTAAATCAAAATATAATTTTTTGGATAAATGCTTAATTTTTTGGGTAAATTGGCCTAGTAAATCAAAACCAACAAAAAGTTGGTAAAACAAGAAAAAAATTTGGGTAAATCAAAATATAATTTTTTGGGTAAATTGGCCTAGTAAATCAAAACCAACAAAAAGTTAGTAAAACAAGAAAAAATTTTAAAATTTGTTGTATAATATATAACTCATCATCATTATTAAAACCTTTTCTCAACTATTTGGGTAAGCTAGGTATAATATCTAACTAGTATTAAAAAAAAGGTACAGTTTGTATAAAGCTGTGGCTCTAAACAATAAAATTAGAGCCCACTTTCAAATAGTGTCTGGTTTCAATATTGAAAATATTTGTGATGGCTTTAAAATATATGTTCATCTTTAATTATAAAATTTAAATTTTCAAAAATAGTGTAGATCAAGCAGATATATGAAAATCTTGAAAATTGCGGTTCAAAAATACATTATAATATGCACTATTTCCAAAACTTGAAGTCCATTTTTTTTTTCATGTCTATGCATCTTGATGTCAAGATGATCAATTTGATGATATTGGAGCATCCAAACAACCTCTTCTAGTGAAAATTTTGAGGTAAGCTCTAACATCCACACATCTTATGATCGGGATGATCGAATTTGAGGGTTGTCCAGCATTGAAACAACCTCTTCTAGTAAAATTTTGAGGTATGCCTTAATTTGATTGTTTAGGATCTCACCTTTATATATAAACATTTTCATTAAAAAATTAAACATTGTATTTAAAAATTGAATAAACTATCATAACGCTACAACCAAGATACTTCCCCAACCTCTAAAACCACCATTTACCAATTATTATTATCCATGCTCGCCAAACATACAATAGAACATGAATTTTTTGCCACATGCCCTAATGCACAATTTGGTCCCACTAGAGCACTAAATTTCTTCCAAATAAAATAGATTCAAGCCCACGATAACTCAATGGGGAGGAGGGCTCTGCAAAATAAGGAGAGATGGGGAATAAAATACAATAAAAAAGAGCAACGGCCAGTGTGGTATTTAAGTAACATGGGAACTAACAAAAATTGAAATAAAAGTAATCTACGTATTTTAAAAGTAAATCTTTATTCTGATTTTGAGATATGAAAAAAATCATTTTAAACCTTTTTTTTATTGAGCCAAACGCTATTTTAAGTCAAAACTAAGTTTTGTAAAAACTCGCATTGAGCTATACACGGTTCTCAAACGACCCATCATATGGGTCATTTAAAATTAAGTTAGCCCTGGATCACTGACATGGTGAGTGAAAATCCTTCTCTCTCTCTCTTTCTCTCTCTCTATTTTGACATTCAAAGGGAAAAAATCCATGCATCATACACAGGGTGATAGAGTTTAGTTATATCACAAACTAAATATTTAGTTCTATAGTTTGTGACATGGCAACAGGTTTTGGCTCGTACATTAGGAGGTTCAACAGGAAGAGCTCCAATTGGATTTAACCTTGGTTTAACCATTGCTAACCTCAACACTAAGAAAATCAAGGAACTTTTTGGGCTGGAACTAACTTCACAAGTAAACGTCATTAAGATACATCAAGATCAGGTATCAATTTATTTATGAACATAAATATGTCATCAGTAAATTATTGTTTGCATATTATGTGAAAATATTTGGGTATGGTCTTTGCCACAAGATTATAAGCTCCTGCACGTATGTACTCCCTTGGGTAAAACTTGAAGTATTCTTACGATTGTAATTTGGGGATGACCTCCAACCTAGTGACCAATTTAATGTACACATGAATGAATTTCTAGAGAAATTTACTCATAGCTCATCATCATCTAAAATCTATCATAGGGTTAAGGTTGTATAATTAAATTTGAATTTTAATAATTTATTTACAAATCAAGTTCATTTGAAATTAAGGACGTCTTACATTAAACTAACTCGCACCTAAAAAAAAATTGTTAAAATTAATAATAATAAATAAAATGATAAAAATACCCTTAAAATTTGTATGTGTGTTGTGGGTGGGGAGGGGGTGTAATGTTTTCGAATTCAATAGAGTTGTGCCATACTTGAATAATCATATCTAACTATTTAGAAGCTCGAAATCCAATTTCTTATTTTTGAAGATACGCATCTGGTAATTCTTAAGTAGACCCCAAATTTATCGTGAATGTCTTTGGCCTTAAAAATAAGTACAGAATATGCCAGGAGGTTGCCATACACACTCCTTTAATATACTTTTAAAATATTTGAACAATCTTACTCATAAAAAAAAAAATTGCATCTTGCAAAGTACATGTGTACTCCTAAAATCACAAATATTTTACTTGATTCCTATTAATTTAACGTTGGGTATAGTATATACTAATTATGCATTTGTCTCGTAGGCCATAAGATCTGTCTATGCAAATTATCCATATAATATCTTTGTGATCCTAAAAGTTTGCAAATTTTGCCTTTCAGGTCATGCGCCTTCCTCCGGATGCTTTGATTCTTGGGTCTTCAAAGAAAACCGGAGTAGAAATGTTTTCAATTGGAAAAAATATTCTTGGCATCCAGTTCCATCCTGAGTTTACAAAGGATTTTGCAAGAGAAATCACAAATTATCTCCTTATGCACAGCAAAATTAGTGTACACCATCATCAAAACTCTCTTTTTTCTCTCTCTTTTTCTTCTAACTTTTACAGTCTAACCAAGTGGTCTGCTTCTGTGCCAATATTAGGACAAGAACCATCAGTTTACTTGATTATTAGGATTTCGAAGTTGTCCTTATGACCAAAAAATTAAATATAGGAAAATTTATACACATACCCTATGACCAAAACACACATAGGTGATAGGACCCTCATTTACACCAAATACCTGCATTATTTTTCTCTTGTATTTATCCCAAGTAAGATTTGTATGAAATCTAGAACAACAAAAACCTTCCACAACCAAACATGACCAAAAAAAAGGAGAATTAACCGAGGTTGCTTCCTCACTTGGAGCCTAGACGCGAATGAAGCTAGTTCCGCACAAGAGTGCCGAATTTAGTTTGGTTCTTTTTTTTCTTTCTTTTTTTTTTACCTCAGGTCGGTTTGGTACTTTGAGAGTTGAACCGCCATATCACTTTCTTTTTTCCTAAGTTGTTTCGATACTTCAAGTGCCAAACTTAATTGGTTCATTTCTACTTCTTCTTCCTGTTTTACTTCACCCAATACTATTGAGGCAATCCAATGAATAAGGCATTCTTGTCCTAGAATCCACACAAGTTTCACACTGGTGTTCTTTTACTTTATATATATATATATATATAACTGACGGGATCCATAGGTATCTTATAGACCCGATGGTGTATACGGGATCATATAAAAGTTTTACATCTTTTTCCCGAGAAATTTTATAGAGTCCTATGTAGAATTTTCCCTTTTTCATACAAACTTTATAATATTAAATATTAATCAGGTCGATTTATCCCCGTTGCTACCTAGCTGGGCTTGGACTCGGTCCAAACGGCCTTGGCTCGGTCTTGGCCATGGCCATGGCCCTGTCCAAGCTGCCTATGCCGAGACTAATAAAGGTAAAACCCAAACAAAAAGGGTCGCACCACGCCAGCACAATCATGGCCCGAGCCCCACCATACTTAGCTCTCAGCCCACATTTTTTATAAAGCCTCAAATTTTTTTGAAGAGAACTCTCGGTATATATATTGATGCATGGAGTGAATTTACAAATTATACACATGACAAAAAATAGGAAGATATTATTGACACCAATAGTACATCCTATCTTACCATAAATACAAGCATATCAATAATATACACTTTCTACAACAATATTGTAGCCCAAACCCCAATTTTCAGGGCTGGGCCGGGCCAGGCCGAGCCTAGCCGCTAGGCCTACATTTGAGTTACTAAGCGTGATGCTTCTTTTCTGTCTCTCTTCAATAAATGCTGTGGCTCTTCCGATCACTTGTCTACGACACTGGTGCAGGCTGAGATTGCAAGGGACAGCATCCAAAGTCTTGAACAAGCTGAAATGGACCAATTTGTCATAAACAAGTTGTGCAAGACCTTCTTGAAAGGCCATCCCAAAAGTTCTCTCACCACGGCATTCACTTCGGAGCATGAAGCCTAAGGAGTGAGACTATGTGGAGGCCCACGGCCCGGCCTTTTTTCTTTCTTGTTTTTTTATAATTATTTTTTTTCATTTATTTTTGGCCCAGCCCGGGGTCACCCTTATACATATACACACATAAGTCGTAGTGTACCCTCTTTCCATCATGGTTGACCTTATTTATTGATCGGGCCGTAATGATCCTTATAACCACAGATATCTTGTACCGACGAGGACTACAGTATTCTTTTCTGTAGCAAGTAATTGGCCATAGAATTCCGTCCAACGTTTTAAAGGAATAGAGGCTGTTATATCCCTAAAGCCCCTACCGGTGATATCATGTAAATGTAATAGGTGGGGAAGATAAAAACAGTTTGTACGGTAAAATAAACACCGGTTATTGAAGTTAGAATAATTGTTATATGATGTATTAATGCCCATTATAGCAAGATTTCAGTTAATGATGATCAGATTATGTGAGAAAAGAAAAAAAAAATTCACAGCCGTTATTTTTAAAATAACCAAAATAATTCGTATTGAAAGAAAATGATCGTTGGAAATGGTGATTATCTAAAATCATCCAACACAAGCAAATCTCAGGATTGAGATTGATATTGATAAGTTTCCTAAAAAAAATAAAAATTCAAAAAGATTAAGACTCTGGGATATATCTCTTGGTTGTTGAGATATAAGTAACATCTATAAGAAGTTTTCTATTTGATGTGGATTCCTAACCTTTTATATATATATATATATATATATATATGGAAAGGTTTCGGTACTTTTCCTACATCATAGAAGAACTATCCTCCCCCTACCATCCAGCCATCCAATTTTGATCGAGAGAGCCACTCACCGTTTGATCTTAGATCCGATGTCTCAAAGTATTTTAGTTTTAGTTTTTTTTATACAAATTGTATGAATATAAAATTTGGTACGTGTCATCTTCTCATTGGGATGCAACTATAAAAAATATTAAAAATAAGTTTTCAATAAAATATAATGACCAAAATACCCCTTGAAACTTTCTAATGTATTTTGGTCATTTTATTTTATTGGAAATATTGCTTTTATATTTTTCACTAGTGCGAGTTTAATAGAGGATTGGACGTCCAAAATTTGGTGTCAAATAGTTTAATAAAAAAAAATTAAAAAAATAAATGTAAGAGACTGACATTGTGATT